CGGCCCGGAGAGGGGCAGGGCGGCTCTGGAGCCCCCCTAGAAAAGAAAAACAAGAGCAAAGGCTGTGCCGAGATCCCCTAGTTTATCCCTGCCGGTAAAGTGGCCCAGCCCAGCAGGCCTGGCCCTCCCGGGGTGGATCGAGGCCCTGCTCTGCAGTGACGCTCTGGCGTTGACCTCATGTGTGTGAGGCTGACGACGTGCCGAGAAGGGGGCTGCAGAGGCGAGTGACGTGTTTTTAATCTGAGCGAGAAATAATGCGACTTCGCCTTATCTCTGAGTCACAGAAAGAGTCGATGAGCGATGGGTACGTGCCTGTGGCTCCGTCGGCAGGGTGGGGTGCCGCTAACCACGAACCGCAGCGGCAGATTTCGCGTAGCTGGAGGAATCAAAGGAAGGTTGTGTTTGGCCTTCCCATTTCAGGCTCTCCTGGGACATTGCCGACAGTGGTTGGAGAGGGGTTTCAAAAGCAAAGCCCATTACTCCTAAAGACGGTTTTAATTTCTGTGTCTGAAATTGCATTAAAGTCCAAGTCCACACGAAAAACAAAGTGAATAACCAGAGGTTCCAACAGCTCCCCAGCCAGCTGGTACCACCAAAAGGGTGATGTTCACCATTTATCCCCAGTAAATAGCAGCTGCTTCTGCTGCAGCACAGGGGACAATGCCACCTCAGGGTCACATAGCAGCCGTGAGATAGGCTTTCAGCAGATGCAAGCCCCTCTTACCACAGCAGATGATGCAATCTAGGTGTTTGCAGTGCGTCGGTGTAAGATATGGATGTGCCTGTGTGAATCTGCAAGACTTGAGTACACAACTTCTTTGAAGTACGTGTGGAGCAGAGGCTGTCCCCTTCCCAAGAGACACCGAGCACCGACTGCAGAGCCGAATCCCAGAGCAAGGCACAGGGGATTCATGAACCCAGCTATGCTCACACACAAACTGCAGTAGTTGGGACTTAGCAACCCATGCTGCAGTGCTTTGCTGCTGCTTCACAACACATGAACCAAGCCAGTTTGCATCAAAAGCCTGAGAAGAGCTTGTGAAGTTGCAGCTGTGACAAGGCAGTACTTGACCCCATTCGCTCAGCCTCCCGAGGGAGGGAGCCGACCGTCCTGCGCTCATCCCTCTTTAAAATACCTGTATGCCAAACAGTTAGTGCAAACTCAGCATTCACGAAATCCATGAGAGTTACCAACCCAACAAAAACACACTGCTCATCCCCAGGAAAACAGCCCGCTCGTCGTGAGCTGGGGAGGGCTACCTCTCTGCCCTGCTGTTCACCGACCTTTGGCCTCAGCCCTTGACACCAAACCCCAGGCAGATAATCGGGGAAGATTCCAGCCCACACACAGCCCTGAGAGTGTCTCTCTCTTTGCTTTCCGTCTCCTGCTCTCTCTGTGTTTCCCCCTGCCCCAGGGCCTGCCTAGAAGCACTCAGTGGGTCTTGCAATGACTGACATAGGGACCTGTCACCCATGTCTTTGGGCTAATCTCTCAGTGTTTATTCTTGCTGTCTCAACACCCTGTCGTGTTCTCACCTCACTCCTGAAACAAATCTTCCCTGAGGTAACACACAGATGGCCAAGAGCAGGACAGAGGAACAGTTAAGTAACAGCATTTATTGGCAGTCCCCAGCACAGGGAGTACTGGGTAGTCACCAAGGCCGGGGGAACATCATGGTGTGAAGAGCACCTTCCTCCGCACGCAGTATCCTTTCAGAGTCCCCAGGATGCAGCTCACTTGGGAGTTCGTCCTTTGGGTTTCTGCTAGGGGCTAAAAACAGCGACACACGGCATGGAGGGACCTCTCTCTCGGCTGCAGAGTACCAGCCGTGGGAAAGAGGAGGCAACGTTGGCGATTTGCTCAATGCCTCCATGGCCAGCTCTAACTGCATACCTTCCTGAGATTGCTTGCGTGCAGCTTTTGATTCAAATTCTCTCCTTCCTCTCCCATACAAATGCAATGCAACTTCAAAAAACAAATGCAGCAGGTCAAGCCACTGGTTCGTGCCCCAGAATCATTAATGTCACCTGAATAGGCTAAAGGTTCTGCACGATGGCAGTGAATGCCCATGGCTGGCACAGGTGGCTGATAAGGGGAACGTCACTTGGGGAAGTGCCAGTGCCTGAGATTAGCAGCCTCTGCGAGAGCCGGCAGCAGCGAGCATGGGGCCGAGCACGGCTACCCTGCCTGGCTTTGAGGTGACGGTCTCGTTTGACTAGATACAGACCCTGGTGGGATACCAGCCCCTTCCAGCTCCAGCCCCAGGTGCCTGGGCTGCCTCCTGCCGCAGCTTGCTGCAGTGCCCTGGTGAATCACCGCAGCCCAGAGCAGCCCAGAGTACTGGGCATTGCTGTCCCGGCCACAGAGCTCAGGAAACCCCAGTAGCTTCATCGGGCACCATGTGGGGGGTCCAAGCAATTGGCCCCGCTGCATTTCACGCTGCACCCCAGCACAGCCCAGAGGCAAGCGCTGCTCCCCAGCACAGGGAGGGCAGCACACAGGCTCCAGGGAAGCCAACAGAGCTGCAGAACTGCCAATTAAAGCACGATCCCTCTGGTTCCCAGCTCTGTCTTCCCACTTGTCTGGCTTGTGCTTGCTCAGATCACACCCCTGCCGGGACGGAATTCAACAGGGGAACACGCTGCCCTTTAACTGCGTCTTGGCCCTGCCCCAAATCACGCCGTTACCTCCGCTGGTGGACTCCGTTCACCCTTAATCTGTGCTTGATAAGTGTGGTAACAGGACTGTCACGGGACGGACAGCCGGAAGGGGAACCGAACGGTGTTCTTCCTGAGAACGCTCTATTTACAGCCGTAAAACACAATACTAACGGCATAGGAGCTGCAGCGTCGAGGCAGCGGCCCCTCCTGAACGCGCTGGGTGCCGGCTACCGGCGGGCTGTGGCGCG